CTATTACCCAGTCACCAAAACATCATAACTTGGAAGAATTTTAGAAGCTCTCATCAAATGGATGACCATATCTGTAAGCACGCCACAGAATCGCAAAGAGCGCCTCAAGCTGATTCCAAAGACATCTGCATCACACTCACGCTGGTGACCAGCAGTATGTGGGTTGTCGTATGATATTCTGACCATGAAGACGGGTTGCCCGATGCCTCAGAGTCTGATTATGTGGAAGCAAAAAAAAGGACCTGGTAGATGCAATCTTTATTTTCTCTCTCCTAGTGTTTTGGAACAAATCGTTCTTTAACAAACATAAAGGCTTTTGTGATTTTTTTTTGTTTAATTAAAGAAGAGAGGAGAAAATAAGATTTTTTTCTTATGGGGAACAACTCAATTAGTAATAGACAGAAGATTTTTTCTTTTTCACTCAAGGGAGACTCAGTAATATGTTCTCTTTTTTCTTCATTGTCAATGGCTAGGAATGATTAGAAAGTGTAGTTGAAACACCAAAACTAGAGGAAGCTACAAAACACAACAACCTATTGCTCCACTACCATGATAGAGGAATATATTGAAATATTGTAATTATAAACTGAAGAAATACACTTTTGATTCAAAAAATATGCTGAAGAAATAGAACATGTATCTATAAATGTAATTAAAAAGAAAGAAAAGGAAAACGAAGAATAGAATATAACTAATATGACATTGACTATAGTATGACCTACCTATAGAGGACACTTAAAAAATGTAGGAAAAGAGTATGAGACATATGTTAATATTCTCCACCAGGCCTTTTTATTTCAAAAAAAAAAAAAAAAAAAGAAAATTTCTCCACTAGACTATATAGGAAGTAGTCATATTCTCTAACAATAATAATAAACCAAAAACTTACCTTACCGCTAACACATACAAACTCCCCCAGTTTATGCTTCTCCTCAAGACTTCTAAGAAAAGGTTGACAAGCAAACCGAGCACCACTGAAATATTTCTTCAAATGCAAATAAATTATTTTCTTTCTTCCATTATCAATATCAACAGTAACATGACACAAGTTTCCTTCATTTTCTGCTATCTCACAGCCCACAACCACCTCAAGAAATGAAAAAGATCGGCTGGCTCTGATTCCCCTGCAGAAGAAATGATATAAAATGTAAGAAACGAAAAACCAGTTCTCTCATCTGCCATTCGGAGTTGAAGATCCCCGGAATTACTATATCCATAGAGACATAAATGCATGGACACATACAAATGCATGTGCATATGCATGCCCATGCATGCATTTATTTGTATGTCTATGTGAGAAGAGAAACAAAGAAATGGAAATGCTAGAAACAGAAATTAGAAGATTTCAGTTCAAAAAATTCAATACACATGCCACTAAGTATAGCATGTCCAAGAAGCAAATGCAAAGTATATTGTTTTCAAAAGAGCCAAAAGAAAAATAACTGAGGTGAACATAAACAGTCATCAACTGTCTGAATTCAAGTGTTAAAGGACACAAGCAACCACCCAGCATTAAAGAGCGAAAACTAAGATAACAAGCATTTTAACATGTCAATAACTGGGAGTTCGGGCAAGAGAGAGAGCACTTAAAATTAATAAGAGATTCCTTCGGGAAATATTTATGTTGCTTTCACATCAACTCTGCTATAGAAAGTTTAAAAACTCTCCTCTTAAGTGAGGGGAAAAAATATTCCAATATTGTAAGACAAATTTTTTTTTCAGTTTTCAATGTAACTATTGCAAAAAAGTTTACAAAGCAGTAAACATAATCAAACGAATAAAAACTAATACAAACACAATCTCATGTAGGACAAATTAGGTTAATTAAGAATTTAGATATAAAAAACCTAAACATCACACTTACGATTCTTTAGACATCAAGTTACAAGCATCACATTTAAGATTCGATTGTATCATACAACTGGGAACTTGACAAATTTTCAAATTATATTATTGAATAACTGAATGATGACCTTAAGGAGATTACAGAGATATTTATGTAGTGTCAAGTGAACTTTTTCCCAATTATGATTAGATTAAGAAATATAAAAACCAATAAAATTAGAAATAGCATTCATAATAAGATAGAAAATACTTTTTTTAATAGAAAAGATAGGAAATACTAATACGACCATGGAAAACCTGAATATTAATACTAATAAGACAAGAAATATAAAAACTAATAAGACAAGAAGTACTAATACTAATAAGACCAGAAATAACATTCCAAATAAATAAAGAAAATACTAATACTAATAAGATTAGGACATAATATTAATAACACAAATAGAAAAACTAAATATTGATAAGGATAAAATTCTGAAGTTGCTAAAACTATAAATAGACTTCTAAATAGTATTTTAGTTTAATATCTCATAGAATTATGATTTATAGTCTACTTAGGCAATTTAGAGTTAATCCATTTTGCACATAATCACTACTAAAATAAGATTTGGTAGGGAAATAAAATTCGAAAATTTTCAGCTCCTATGTTTAGTTGCTTTATCCTTTACATATGTCTATATATCATACACACTATTCGCAAGAAAGCAATAAACCGTGGTTTCACCGCAAATTCCATCTTTTTTCAAACCTTTGTTAGCTTTCCCAAGAGAAGCAATCTGTAAATTCCTGTTTCCTCAAACTTTCATTCTTCATGATAAATTTTTTGAAGGACCACTTCCCTTTTTTGTAATTGGGGATTAAAACCACTTTAACCTCACCCATAAAAGCCTTTCTTAGAGAGAAGTATCAGATGAGCCAAAGGCTCATGGTATTCATATATTAGTAATATCAACCCTGATAGATATTTTGTCCCGAGCCACAGTCAGCCAGATGCTGGAAGAGGATGCCAAAAGTCCTTAAACCAATTATCAAAATCAATTAAAAATCAAGAAAAGGGCAGTCTACTATTTATCCTTTAATCAAGATATTAAATGGTATGGTGAAAAAAATTAATAACCTGGAGGACAAGATTTTCCCAATAAAAATTAAGTACTGTCCATCACCAATTTCAACCTGTGCATTCTGCAAGTCCGCATAGGTACGAGGAAAATGGCGCAGCAGTTTCCGTATCTGCATTGAAACAAGTTGAACAAATTGAATCCAAGCCTTAAACTATACAATAGACAATAAGGAATTTGCATTTAATTAATTCCAAGAACCAACCGTGTGAAAGCCCCCATTTTCTAGCTGACGGCAGTGCTTCTTACTTAATCCAGGTATGCAACTAATACTGTTGTCAATAAATAACTCAATTTTTGCATCCACCTTTTCTGTTTCAAGCCCGTTATTTACATAAGATTTATCCATGGTGATAGGATTATCTGATTTTCCTTCAGTTTCTGATGTTATAGAT